TTTCTTAAGTTGATAACGATTTGGAAAAATTTGCATTTGGGGATGAGGGTTTATAAAGAGGTAGAAAGGGGGTTGTAATAGTCTAATAGACAACATATGTGGAAATTAAGAGCGGTTTTGACTGGTAAAAAAAGTATATTTATTTTGTATTTGTAATAAGATAGTATGTAGGTTAATTATAGGAAAAGGATTATAAAAATCCTATTTGATGACCTTTTCCTTTCAATATCTACACAATAGGGCCACCACTAATCTACCACACGGTGCATGTGTGGTCATCTCAACACTCAAGTGTAATAATAATAGAAGATAGAAGATAAATACAGTTTTAAATTGAAGTTTAACATAATAGTGTTAGAAAACACAAAAACCAAGTTGTTCTTTGAAATCACAAACACTTAGGCATGCTTGGATACAAAACATTCCAAAAATATCCAATAATTTTAACTCAATTATTTTTTTTATTCAACTTTAACTCAACCTCACTATCATCAATTTTATTAATATAACTAAATAATATCAATCAATCATTTTTACACACCACATCAACTTTAATTCACTATTCATCAACTCACATAATTTTGACTAACAATCACTTCAAATCTTTTATCTTCTACTTTACATCAAAACAACTTTAAATATTTTATCTTAAATATTATTTTAATATGCTCACTAACAACTAATCATACCAACTTTTTCAAAACTAACCAAATCAAACAAAAAAATTCAAACAAAATCAAAATTTTTTATCCTGTATTTATTATCAGTAATGTCTGGAAAAATTGTTAATATCTGTATGTATGGGAAATGCTATAGATACATAATATTGTACATAGAGGCGTACATAACACTCACATTAAGTGGTTACTACCAAAAATAAAAAATCAAGTGGCTTCTACTCCATGTGAGTATTATGTACACCTCTATGTATATTTATTATGTACTTGTAACATTTTTCTGTATTTATTATCATGTAAACTACACTTTCAAAGGAAATATACGAGTAAAATTTTTTTTAGTGGATGACACAACTTATAGAATGATCTATAATTATTTACAAATAGTGTATCGACATAAATTTTACAATAAATACACTTTGAATGTGTGGCAATACAGAGCATGTTTGTTTATAAGAAATTTTCAAAAAATTTCCAACATTTTAGCTCAACCATTTTTTTTAACTGAACTTTAACTCAATCCCACTATCATCAAAATTCTCAATATAATTAAATAATATCAATCAATCATTCATACACACCACATCAACTTTAATTCACTATTCATCCACTCACATTATTCTAACTAACCATCACTTCAAATCTCTCTCTCCTACTTATACATCAAATTAATTTTAATTATTTTATTATAAATATTATTTTAATATACCCACTAACAACTAACCATATCACCTTTTTCAAAATTAACCAAACCAAATCAAAAAATCCAAACAAAACCAAAATTTTTTATAAACAAACATGCTAAACGACTTAATAAGGAAATCGTCTGGCCCAATAGAATCTATATATATATATATATATATATATATATATATATATATATATATATATATATATATATAATTGTAGGCTATCCAATAAATGAGATAGTCTACATTTTCCCTCCTAAACCAAATTTTAGCTAAATTAAGTAAGTTGTTTACACTAATCTCACATTAATGTTTTCTAATATCATTCATAGATGTATAAAAAACGTCACATCCACATGGAAGTTACTTTTGTTATTAAGCAATTAAAATTAAAATTATAAACAATATTAATGAATGTATCAAATACAAAAATTACGATTTCAAATTATGTTACATTACGATACATTACAATAAAAATGAAATTATATTTTTGTAATTTAATTTCCTACCATACTCCATCAACATATACCAATTACAAAATAATAAAAAAGATTAGTTTCATAATTAAAATGAAAGATTTAATTCCCTCAAGTGGTAAAACCTTATAAATTATTAATATAAATAAAGTTAAATCACATATATTTTATAAACATAGACTACACACGTAATAAAATGAATTAAAATCACATATATTATATATATATATATAATAGTAGGCTATCCAATTAATGGGGATAGCCTACATTTCCCGCCCAAAACATTTTGGTCTAAATAAAGCAAGTTTTTCTTAAACTTTTTTTTTCTTTATTTATATGTTAACAACAATTTATACTATTCTCAAATAAATGATTGACACATATATTATGTTTGGTTCCAAAGATAATTGTTTTAACTTTTTTTTTTTTTTTGAATTATTAATTCATCAATAACATATACTTACAACCTAAATAATTATGTATATCATTTTGACTTTCAATTTTTTTTTTTTTTTTCATTTCATATATCAAAAAAACTAATAATAAACTTAGTAGCCAATAAAATAAAATTTACATATCATGATATAAAAATAATCTTCCAAATAATAATAAATATCCATTTTCCTGCTGAAATCCGGAAAATATGACATATTAATATTAGTGATCTCACAATATTACAAACACTATTTTTATAAATAAATAATTTAATAATGATACTGAAGAATTTATAGTTCAATTTAGCTCTGCAAATTATAGCATCGATATTGAAGAATTGATCTAATTTTTCATTTTTCAGTTTGTTTTCACAAATATCTCAATCAATCTATTTATACAAAAAGCAAAAATGATAGTTAATTTTATAACATAAACTTTAGACAAATATATAATAAATAAATCATATTTCATTACTACATTGGTAAAAATTAAGAACAATATAAAACAGGTTTTTAAATTTAATTTTCTAAAATAAATTATATGATAAATACAATTAAAAAATTCCACAATTCAAGCATAACAATTATAGTAAGCATTATAAATAAATTTAAATTTAAATTACAACTTAATCCCAATAAGATGTACTCGATTTAGCTTCATTTCAGGTTAAAAAATAATTGTATATCAAGTCAGTTTTCAAGTTAAAAATTTTACCTAATAAGATAACTTTTAATCTGTTTACCATAATTTCAGCAATAAGTTTGACGTCAATACATTAAGAAAATGAAGAACAATAAAGGATTTATATGCAAGTCAGTTTTCAGTTTATTTTTCTTTTTACACAAATCACTCTCAATTAATTTATTCGTACACAAAAAATACTAATTAATGCACTATAATTAAATTCAGCATAATAACTGATTAAAAAAAATCCTAAATTAATTATTATGCTAACTAGATACACAACAAATAAATTTCATGTTTCTCACAAATAGATTTCAGCAAAATTTAAAATTCCGTGAATCTAAATGAAATACAAACATTACACATATCAATTTTACATTCTACTATGTCATTTTTATAGTTAATTTACCCGGATCTGCTCCCCTACCCACGGTGGGCAGGAAATTAATATAACCACCGCTTATGTAGCATGTACATATTGGACATATTAATTCTCTCCCACGGTTTATGCTCAATGTGTACATGCCACATAAGCGATGAACATATTAATTCCATGTCCACCGTAAGTAGGGTAGCAGATCTGTTAATTTACCATATAAACTACCATCTCAATACAAAAAATAATTATGTCCACATAATGCTCTTATAAAATAAATGATAAACGAATTTATATTTTTGTTACTAGAATGCCATTTAATTTTTCAGTCATGAAGAACAAAAGTAAATATATTTCCTAAAATTGGTACTCCTACCCATGAAATATGCTAAAATAATTAGTCAGATTTATGGTTTGTTTTGACTCTTTCAGTTTTTCAAATCATCAATTAAATGTAAATATTGCATGAAACACATTTACATATATAGTTGCTGAATACACCTACATAAACCTGCAGAATAGGTTCATTTTTATGTTTATAAGATATACAACAACAAAAATCACATAATATCACCACAACCATCAACAACAAATACACTCATTTGTTTGTCTTTGCAATGAAGAAACTAACAGGCATTATTATCATTGGCAACAAAGGCAACAAGATACAGGATCACGATTCAGAACAAAGAGGAAATTTTCTCATTGGCAACAAAGGCAAGGAAAAACATAATAAAAAATTTTCTGAACAACCATGCAGTATTATAATCGGCAACAAGATATGCGATCATGAAATTAATGAACAAAGCTAAAAGCGTACTAAAAATGGTAACATTATACCTGTTAATACCTAAGGACTGTGTTCTATTGGTTGTGTTTATTTTTGCTTCATCTTCCCTTTTGATCTTGGTTTGTTTCATCTTCCTAAACACATATACCAAAATAGTTAAATTAGATACATCATCTACTACATTTTAAGAGTGACTAATGTAGAAATATATAAAATATTTATATGTTTTCTTATATCATCCATTTTCCTCCGGAGCTCCTCTTTAAACAAATATATAATTCTTCGAAAAGTATACATTTTGATTCAATTTATTAAGAATAAATATACAACCAAAAGCAGTCATTGTTTAATCCTTTTCACTTCAAACAACAATGCGTACACAGAAACAACTTAAGACGGTATAAAAGGTTACCTTTTTCAAAATTCTAGAATTC